ATATCTAAGTGGCTTCAAAGTCCGAAAGACGTGATAAAAGATATGGCCTTGGATATGTTGGAAAAGTTTAACAAAATATTGAAGTGTGATTCATGGTGTTATGGGAATAGCCACTGTTTTAGATCCACGGTATAAGTGGGGAATTTTGGAGTCTTACTATGAGAATATGTATAGACGTGTGGAAGCTTTAAATGAAGTAAAGAGGATTAAGGAGCTTTGCTTGGAATTAGTAGGGGAATATGAAGTGAGGCAAGGAAGTAATTATGAACCGCAACCTTCTTCTCCCCCTCTTCAAGTAGATATTGATTGCAAATGTCCATTAATTGATGATCTCTCTGATTTTGATAAGTTTATACAAACAAAAGACTTAACAAAAACACGTGGGAGGTTTGAGTTGGATCGTTACTTAGAAAATGGTATGATGTCAAAAACTTCAGATTTTGATATACTATCTTTTTGGGAGACAAGTGGTCCCAAGTATCCCCTGTTTCAAATGATTGCTAAAGATCTTTTTGTTATTCCTGTTTCTACTGTTGCTTAGGAATCTGCTTTTAGCACAAGTGGGAGGGTGATCAATCCACATCGCAATAAACTTCTTCCAACTACAGTAGAGGCTTTAATGTGCTCTCAAAGTTGGTTATTTGCTGAAGAACGAGGTAATGCAATATCATTTGTATATGCATCATAACTTTTGTGGGGGGTAAAGTATGATTAATGAATTATTTCTTTTTTGTTAGGTTCATCTACTTCGAAGGGTTTGAAGAGCTATACATTATCGGAAGATCTTGATATTGATGATGAAGAATATTGTTTATGTTGAAAATTTCTCTTTGGAAGAATCTAATTTTTTTTTCTTTTAATGATGTAGGAAAATGATGTTGAAGAAGTAGATTCAACCACCACCGATGGTGTTGAGAGATGATTGAGTTGCTAATTTTTCAATTTCAACCAATCAATTTTATTAGTAAATACAAAATATTTTTTATGCAATTATTATAGTTTTTTATGTTTTATTTTTTTTATTAAATTACAGGTGTGACCGTGTGAAGGTACATGACAGAATAGTAACTGTGTGAAGCTAAATGTCATTAAAGTACTGACATTTGTTTTTTGTTATTTTGGATATTTGTGAAGACATCTGTTGTGTTATGTTAGACAATTATATCAAAAGTTTCCCCTTTCCCCGTTACGTAGTATTTTGGACATTTGATGAGGTATATTGTGTTATGTTGTTTATATTTTCAATATTTTCTTCATTTATTGTTTGAATTATATCAAATTCAAGTAGTTATTGGAGAATGTTGTTGAATTTTTAAATATTGAATTTATTTAGAATTTTTGATTACGTTGGCTTAGACTTGGGTTTAGGCTTGGGCTTAGGCTTGAGCTTGGGCGGGTACGAGAGAAACGGGGACGGGGGCGGGGATTAAAAAATTTCCTGCGGACAGGGATGAGAATAAAAAATATACCCGTTAACGTGGGTAGACCGGGGATGGACAGAGGTTTTTTAAGCGGGTACGAAAATGGAGACTATACTCCCCGCCCTTGCTTCGATCCACTGACATCCCTATTTGTGTCTCTCATTTACCACTGCATGAGATTCACGCAATTAATGGCACTTCTTTTATATTGTCTTACTGCATTACTTAGGATCATAGACAAGAATTATAGCAAGCTATAGCATGATGCGAACAAATTTTATCAAAACATTAAATTATTGTTAATTAATTAATGGGGTCAAGGGATGGTAACATGAGATATGTGACAGGACGTGATTGGTAAATTATATTGTGATATAAATAAGTTTTCAAAAACAATTGATTCAATGGTAATTGATTAGTTGGGGTGCACTAAGGGTGGTTATGTGAGAGAATTGGTGTAATGTGATTGATAAAATCTCATATTTTAATTAAATAAAGGAGAAATATTATAATTAGTTCTTAAATTTTGCTTTTGATTTTAATTTAATTTTTAAACTTTTAACTGTCTCAATTTAATTTCTTAATAAACAATTTAGTCTCAATTAAGTCCTATATATTTCCACCTTTAGATAAATCGTAGACTAGCCAAAACTTATCCATTAAAAAATTAAAGCATATGTTTTATTTTTGATCCAATGATTAAAATGAATGAGAGAATTTAATTGAGACAAAATTAATATTTGAATGACTAAATTGAAAGAATTGAAAGCTAAGAGACTAAATTAAATTCAAAAATAAAATTTAGGGACCATGATATTTATCCTTAAATAAATGAAACTTAAAAAAAACGAAGAGTAGTTTTTCAAATTCTGTTCTCTTTTCTAAATTGTTTGTGTATATGTAAGTACCTTCAAAATGAAAACACGGCGATTCACTTTTCATTTGGTCATTGAGAAAAGGTATAGAACGAACAGGCCAAAACCATTTGTGACTAGATTACAATAACCTCAAAAATGGCATATGGTTGTCACGTTGTGCACCAAAAAGAGGCGAGAAGGGCCCACATGTAATTGGATTGGCCAGTAGACCGCACGATTTTTGGGATTTCACGCCGTTTCCTTCGCCATTTTCTACTCCACTTATCGCGCCCAGAAAATGCTGCACACTCCACAAAACCTAGAAAATATTGAATACAAAACCTCATTAATATTACCTCATCCAATAACAAATTAATATGTAATCAACTAAATCCTACTTAATTTAGTAAATTATAATATCCATATATGAAAATTACTATTAAGTGGGGTTCATTTTACACAAATATATGTGATGATGCACAAATTGGATTTGTACACTACCTGTTAATTGAACAGCAAAAAATGCAGTAATTAATAAGTAAGAGGTAGAGACAAAAGCAATACAAGATTTATAGTGGTTTAGTCCATGTGACCTACGTCTATTTTGAATGACTAGGGTTGCTGGATATTTTATTAACTCAAGTATGTAGGGTAAGCAGAGAGTTACAAGCTATGAAAGGGAGAGGGGAGATGTACTCGATTGAGTGTGATGTTCCCTCAAGTGTTGGCGGAGTTTACAAATTATAGTCATCTCATAACGAATTGGGGGGATTTAATAGTAGTTAAATAGCTAATTTGACTGTCATAACAGATTGAGGCGACTTAATAGTAATTAAATAGTTGACCCGGCGGAGGTGGCGTCCTCTTCTCAACGGGCGAGGTAGTTACAATATTCTCTATAGGACTCGGTCAAAAGATGAGATGATAAATGACTTTTTTCAAGGCGACGAGAATGACGCTTTGGATGACATTGCGTGTTCCCTGCTGATGTAGCTCATTAAACTTGATGAGTTTGACCGAGTTGACCGCATTGGAATGGACTTGTCGAATCTCTTAGAGTTGGATCATTAATTCAAACTAGGCTTACGACATGAGTTTGACCATTGGACCTGACCATCAATATGTTTATTATTAAATACTAAAATCAAATGGTAGTGGTGACATGATGTCCATTACACCCAATATTTACCCTACAAAACCACACTCTTTCCCGTCCACTAAATTGCATTCTTGTTTAGTCTTTTTTATATACCGCGCTTGCCAGCAGTTGATCAGTGTCAATTTAGGCTCTTAAAGGATTCAAATGCTTTCTATTACACTTTCACTGAATAAATCAAGTTGACGGATTCATTTATAAATAATTATTACCCCTTAAATTTATAGTATGTGGCCTACATTTCGTCTACAATGGAGAGAGTCTCAATTCGCTCTTAAAATATTTGTCTAACTCGTGCTCGACTTGGTCTCAACTCGGTTCGGCTCTTTCAAATTAAAAAATAAATTATTCTAATTAGATTTTATGCTGATTTTGTATACGAGTGGAATCTAAGAAACATGTACTTCATCTCATCTTTAATAGGATTCTATCTGTAAATAAATTCTAAATATACTACCAAATAACTCTTATTCTTGCAATGAAGAACCTCAAGCGTACCCTCAAATAGCTACATTTCAAATATTTGCAAGAAAAATCAATTTTCTCCGGTGTTTCATTATTAGCACATGTTGAAACATTAGTCATGTATCTAAAAATATGATCGATCCTTACACTTAAAAAAAATTATAACTTAACCCCCAAAAAGTTATAAGTTGAACCCCATAAGCCGCAAAGTAATTGCAACAAATTTTAATTTTTTTTAGGATCAATCTTTGCATTTTAAGGTTGATCTTATTTTTTTATTTTTATTTTTTTGTAATTAGATCCCAACAACTTATATAGCCTACCAAAATTGTAAACATAAGTACCATACCATTTCGATACCCAAGTCAAATATATAGAGTTCCGCCATTGAAATGACCATATTTCATTTTCAATAATATTATTTAGATTTAATTTGTTAACCTAATTCATCATAATTATTAGATTGGTTGTGAATCCCAAAAAAGAATAGGGTTACTGTCAATCCAATGTATATGAATAATAGATTAGTAAATTAGGTCCGAATATGATTAGTCTTTCATTTTTTTGTTGATTTGTAACAACCTGCCACTACTTTATTTTCTGTCCATTTAACTTTTAACAACCATGAAATTTAATCCTTTTTAGGTAATTATAAAAAAAAAACTGCAATTATTTAGTTAGTTTGGTTAGGACAGACAGTACATCAATGAAAGAGTGGCTAACACGATGCATGTGACAGACCTGTATTTATGTTAATCTCCCCACATGCCCACATGGATTAAGGTCAGTAATTTGCTGAAAATTTTGAATGAGTTCCCATTATTTATAATACTCCTAATAACAAATTCTTCCTCTTTAGGTTGGCGGCATTCATTGCGCCTATAATCTTCAATAACTTATGGTTTCCAAAAGACGCAGACCTTTTTAATACGACCATAGTTTATGTTGCTTTTTTATAACTGTGAGAAACTGCCGAAACTGTAGCTCACCATTACAAGCACTCATAGCCTATAAGTACCACCTCAAACCGCTTCAACTCCTCAACATCCCAACTCCCATTCTCTCTCTCTCTCTCTCTCTCTCTCTCTCCAGAGAACTAGGATGATGAGAACCATGAGCCTTCTTGCTCTTCCATTTCTCTTTATGTTCTTCTCCGCATCACTAGCAGCGCCGCTGACATATAATGTGCAGAGTTTGGGAGCCAGACCCGATGGCAGGACGGACTCAACCAAATCCTTCATGAATGCATGGACCGTCGCTTGCGCCTCAGCAAATCCGACTATGATATATGTGCCACGAGGAAGGTACTTGCTTCGCAATGCATTCTTTGATGGGCAATTGTGCAAGAGCAGTGCCATCACCATACGAATCGATGGCACTCTTGTGGCTCCTTCGGACTACAATGTTAATGGAAATGCCGGTTACTGGATTAAGTTCCAAAGAGTGAATGGACTATCCATCTATGGTGGAACCTTAGATGGTCAAGGGACTGGTCTATGGGCTTGCAAAGCCTCTAGCAGGAGTTGCCCCACAGGAGCAACGGTATGTCAGTTAACCGACCGTTCCTTACCATTTTTTTTTTTCATACTGGAAGTCGAAAGGTTTTCTTGTTGCGTTACTGTTAAGAATTATCGCTTTCTATTGTTGCGTTATCCTTCCTGCTCACTATATTTTAATCCATTTCATGGGTGGTCAAACAAACAGCTTCAATTTAATTTTCACAGTTTAAATAAGGTGGGAATTTTTTATGGCGTAGGGGTTGACAATTACAAACTGTCGTTTTTCATCATTTCTTATCAAAAAATATAGTTTACCGATTTTACGGTTTCCCCCAACAATTTTCTAAAAATATGCATTTAAATAAACAAGAACTGTATTTTATTTCAGATTTGCAGCATTGATTATTGTCCATGTTGCTTCTTAATTAGTGAACTAAAGTCTGTTAAGAGTGTATTGGATTTGGGCTTTTCTTTAGTAGCTGCAACCCTGATTCAAGGGATATGATACGCCATTAAGGTCTATGCTTTTACTCTTTCATAATTCTTTTGTGAGTACTGAATTATATAATTTCTCCTACAGACTCTGGCAATTGACAATTCAAACAACATCATTATCAATGGCTTAAGTTCTTTGAATAGCCAAATAATCCACATTGGCATAGTTGGATGCCGAAATGTTAAGTTGCAAGGAGTGAGTGTCTCGGCCTCAGGCAGAAGCCCAAACACAGATGGCATTCACGTGCAATCATCATCCGGTGTCACAATCCTAAATTCTCATTTTGCAACTGGTGATGATTGTGTCTCAATAGGCCCGGGTAGCACTAATTTGTGGGTTGAAAACGTCTCTTGCGGCCCTGGTCACGGCATAAGGTAACTAATTTATGCAAAAGTTAGTATAACCTGCATACAGCGAATTACTGTTATTAATCACACTCTCCTACCTATCTTCCTATTTTTTGAGTAATTGGTTATGGCTAATACAAACACTAATTGCACATGTGCAATTCTTTCCTCGGTGCAGCATTGGGAGTCTTGGTTGGGATCTGCAAGAAGCTGGTGTCCAGAATGTAACAGTTAAATCTAGCACATTTACTGGTAGCCAAAATGGTGTAAGAATAAAGACATGGGCAAGGTCTAGCAATGGATTTGTAAGGGATGTTCTTTTTCAGCACGCAGTTATGATCAATGTCCAAAATCCAATTATAATAGACCAAAATTATTGCCCCGATAACAACGATTGCCCCAATCATGTAAGATTTGTTCAAAGTGTTTATTGCTATGATAATGAAAATATAGACAACTCTTTTTGTTGATATTTGGAAAACCTTGTCATCTTTTTGTGCTTAATTCCCTTGTTTTTTTTATAGGTTTCTGGTGTGAAGATTAGTGATGTGACATACCAAGATATTCATGGAACATCTGCTACACCAATTGCTGTAAATTTGGATTGCAGTAAGGAGTATCCCTGCAGTGGGATAAGACTGGAAGATGTAAGCCTCACATACAACGATCAACCAGCTGAAGCATCATGCATTAACGCGGGGGGATCAGCTTCTGGTTTGGTTGAGCCTTCAAGCTGCCTTTAGAAGTGAAATAAATGTTGGCATATCAATTAGAATGTGTCGAACACACAACAAAAACATCACTTCTCATTCCCAGCCGGAAACCATACTAGTTTGCAGTTAGGTCTTAGTATAATGGTTAATTAAGCGAAGGGTCTTGCCTGAGCCTGTGGCGGCATAAGCCTACTGGGTCTGGAGCCTGGCCATGCAAGCAGTATAGTCCAAGCCCTTTATTGAGTAGTGTTTTCAGAAACTATTGTAAGCAAATGTGATTTTGCTGAATGATAATTTGAAGTTTATATGCATCTGAGGCTTCTTTTCATTTTAGTAGTAATTTATTACGTTTAACAACTAAGTTTTCAGATGATATGTAGTCTGTTGTGAAGAATATATATAAATATTGATCAACTAGGCAGTCAATAATGGTGAAGACTATGATAAAAGAAGCATAAATTTATGAAGCATACTATGATAAAAGGTAATGTGCATTCAGATTCAAAAACAGCCAGGAAAGTTTACAAGACTATAAATTAGTCCTACAAACAAAGAAAAGGTCCACTAGACTAAAGGACGAATGGAGTACAACCCCTCTGACGCCCTAAAATCTACAATTTAAACATTGACTATCTATCAATCATTAAATGAAGAAACCATTAAAGTATCATTAAATAAATACAATCATTTATCATTCAATATCTAATTAGATAAATCCCAAATAAAACATAAATAAATCCTTAAGGCTACATTTAAACTAAAGTAAATATTTTTCAATAACTAACTAAAGAATGTCCATGAATTATCAATTCATCAGAGTTAAAAAAATTAAATAAAAAAAATTCATTGGAGTTAAACTATAAACTAATGAAAACAACTTTAAATGTCCACTTTCAGATCCACGTTATGATCCACCTCAGCATTCCAATCTACTTGATCACCTAAAATTATGTATTGTCCAAGTCCAAAATTTGAAAAATATTTATATTGTAGGGTGAGTAAACAAGCGCAATAGAAAAATCTTCTAAAACCTAAATAAGGTTTCGAAATAATAAAATTGGTAAGCCTCAGTTGGTAAAATAACATATAATAATTTGAAGTCAAACAATGTCAGTTAATGATATATCACGTTTATAGTATAAAACAGAAAATTCCAATAAGATGTACAACTCATTCTCAAAGCAATTGATATTTACAACAGGTATATCTCATGTACGAAGATTGACTACCGTGAAACTACACATCGAGAATATCTTAGCCTGCCCCCCCCCCAACAAATCACCTAACCAATACTTGCAAAGATACACCATTTTCAAGAATCGTGTATACAGTCGCATCAGCATTGACGTAATTTCTCATGAATAATGTACTAGTCATCCGCCTCGATCACCGTAAGCTAATAGTGTGAATTTTTTAACCTCGTATGAAACCAAGAAATTCCACTATGGGTGACAGAGAATATTCAAACTCCTCATAATAAGAAACTCATCTAAACACCCTACGATATCCGGTCGAATACATCTTATGTTCATCACACTCACCCATAAAGAGATAATTTCCATAATTTTCTATTAAATCCACATAATCATGAATCATGGTTCCACAATTATCCAAATAGAAAAATTGCAAGAAAGCATACAAGAGATCTCCAGGAAACATATTTGAATTGATAATAACCAAGAACTAGGGTTTTTAAATCAAGAATATAAGATTTGTGATGTGAATCATCTATTTATTCTTAAAAACGTTACAAGTATTCGATTGGAAATCCAAATCGTTGATTATCTACATATAATTGTGAAAAAGAATGAAAGATAGATGATATAAACCTAATTCCTCAATGAGTGAATTTGACAAAAAACATCTACTGTGATTCGCAGTTAAATCGATCCTAGCATGCGTTGATTTGTTTCTAGGCATTAATTACTCATGATCTTGCCTTTCTCTTCCATCTCATCCTCTCTTGGCTCCCTATGGCTGAAAAATGATTTAAAGAATGTCCTTAGGGTATTTATAGGGTTAAAAACAGTTCAAGAGGAGTGAGCTTGATCGTTGTAAAATGCGCACTCACGTTCGAACATGACTGACGTTCGAACGTTTCACTTTCGAAGATGCCCCACTTCCAGTATCTCTTGTTCTATCAATTTTTTTTACCAAGCGTAAACTTCTAGGGCTAACCTATGTTCGAACAAGAATTGGTGTTCGAACGTACTCCAGTTTTCTTCCTTAACTTCCAAAGCAATTTTGGCCTAGTAAACGTCGATTCACAAAAGTTTTAAGAACAAATTTTTGGAGCCCTTGAAGTAAACTTTCTAATGCCTAAAAATTAGATCGATTGAATATCAATAGAAAAAGTTAGGGCTAAAATACTATACTGGTGTCTAATTCCTTTCTACCCAATTTCTCTCAAAATGCATCTAAGCTCTGGATCACTTTCAAACTTCTATTACACTTCATATGGTATATCATCAATTCATTTTATATTACAATCCAACCCCATAAAAGAAAATTTCATCCTTGAAATTGAACTCAAGTAATGAACAAGTGCGAGTATTTTGCTCACATGCATCTCCAACTCCGGTTCCCATGTAGCTTCCTCTACTCAATGATGTTGGCACAATACCTTCACAAGTGAGATATCTTTGTTGCAAGCACCTTTTCATTAGTGTTTAGGACCCTCATTGGTTATTCTTCATAAGTTATTTCTTCTTGAATTTCAATCTTTTCAAGTCCACCACTTGTGATGTGTGGGGTTCACACTTTCGTAGCATTGACATGTGAAATACATCATGTGCTCCCAACAATTAAGCTGAAAGTTTGAGTTGATAAGCCATTTTCCCAACCACTCGAATTACTTTGAAGCATCCCATGTACCTCAGGGGTAGATTTCTTTTCTTTCTAAACTGCATTACTCCCTTTTTAGGTGGAACATTTAAAAATACATAATCGTCCACTTTTAACTCCAATGGCCTCCTTCTCCGATTCAAATGACTCTTTTACTAGCTTTGAGCAGTGCGTAACCTCCCTCGAATCATTTGAATTTTTTTGGTGGTTTCTTTCACTATTTTTGGTTCAAACAGACTACTTTCTTTGACTTCCACCCAATTTGTCGGTTATCTATACATCCTCCCATACAATGCTTCATAAGGAACCATTCCATTGTTAGCTTGATAGATATTGTTATAGGAAAACTCCACTAAAGGTAAATGCTCACTCCAAATTTCCATGAAATCCAACACACGCACCCTTCACATGTCTTCCACAACTTGAATTACCTTCTTGGATTGGCCATCCATTTGAATATGAAAGACAGTGCTAAAATGCAAATTTGTTCCTAAAGCCTTCTAAAAGCTTTGCCAAAACATGGCCACAAACCTACTATCATGACCCAACATAATGGATAGAGGAATCCAATGAATATTCACTATCTCCCGAATATACAATTGACTCAAAGTCAACAATATATCCATCATTTTCATAGGAAAGAAATGAGAAGTCTTGGTCAGTTGATCTATAATTACCCCAATCGCATTATGTCTGTTGGTGGTCCGAGGCAGTCTCGTCAAAATATTTGTTGTTATGAGGTCCCGCTTTCACTCAGGAATAGGCAAAGATTGTAGTAATCCCCTTTTAGTTTCTGATGTTTAATCTTCACCTGTTGGTAAATTGCATAATTAGCCACGAACTCAACTATATCTCTCTTCATCCCCTTTCACTAATACTGATGTTTCACATCCCAATACATCTTTGTACTACTTGGATTGTAAAACCCAAAAAATTTAAAATTTTATTATTAAGGGTAAAATGGTAATTAACCATTGCGATACAGATTGAAAAATCAAAATTTTTCTAGAATTCGGATGACGAAACAGACTTTATCATTGGACTCGTCTCGCAAACTCTAGCTACTCAATCAATTTTTATCGAATTCTGAGATAGTCAATTTTTTTGCTTCTTACGAGGTGATCGGGTGTCGCGAAACTAAAATAATTTAAAGTTAGTTCAATAAAAATTTATTGAACATAACATATGAAAAAATTTAATTGATTCAAAACAAAATCAAATCAGAAAAGTTAGGATGTGTGGGAAAATTGGGGCCAAGTATTGAAGGAGTATAAAAGGAGAGAATAATCAAATTTTTTGTCCCCATTCTTTAGCCAAATACAATCGGAAAGAGAGAGAGAGAGAGAGAGAAGAAAAGAGGGAGATTTCAAGTTCTCCAAGCTTCTACCTCTAATCCACAACTATCCGACCATCGGATCTTTTCGGGCCAAGAACTACAGTTGTTTTACGCGTCGAGAGTAACGCATATGTACCAAAGATCGTGGGTTTCACTAAAATCTCAAAGAGAAGATTTTTGAGATCAAAGCTTTGAGGCTTGTTTTGGGGTTTTTGCAGCTTCCCCTACGTGGTATTACACTACAAAAGGTATGTTTCTTTTCCTAACTATATTCATTTCCAACCTAGCGTTGAAATATGAAATGTGTAGGGTATTAGAGATGAAATCTCATGTATAACACTTGCCTAGGGTGTTAGAAAATGGAAATGAGTATGAAGAATGTGTTAATTTTGGGCATTGCTATGTATTTATATAATTTGGCATATTAAATGTTTGACAAAATGCTTAAGAGTACATGCGTTAATTGGATGTATATCACTAGTAACCTGCTTGGGATTGATGGGTGTTAGAAAATGGAAATGGGTATGAAGAATGTGTTTAAACCAATTCTTGTATGAAATGGGTTTGATGAAATTGCTTGTTTTGGAATTTCAAGAAGAATGTGCTAATTTTGGGCATGCTATGTGTTTATATAATTTGGCCTATTAAGTGTTTGATAAAATGCTTATGAGTACATGCGTTAATTGGATGTATATCACTAGTAACCTGCTTGGGATTGATGTTATGGAATGTAATCATATGCTTTATGATGTTAAGTACATTGTGAAATTGGAAATGTTTGAGGAGATGGAATATATTCCTATTATGCTCATAATATGACGAACATTCTACTGTAATTGTAGTTGAAAGC